AAGGATGGTTTTCCTCATCGTCATGCATAGCGATTCAGCGCCTGCCCCGCTCGCATAAAGCTCACTTCGAGGCCCGCCGCTACTTTGCACGCAAAAATTGCCGCACCCGACGATCCTAGCCTTCCGCCGGCCCGAGGTTTTCCTGACGTAGACAAGTTTGCCAGGAATTAATTCAACCGAGACTTCGGGATTCTCGATCAAGGCACGGTAGTCACTATCGGAAATCCCTTCAACAGCACCAGTCTTGGAGACTAGTGATTCGTACTCTTCGGTCATGGCGGGTATCCACTTTGCCGACTCTTTCCTCACCTGATCGGCTGCAATAATTTTAGTTCGTAGGGGAGGAGGGTCCTCTGTTGCTTCGGATGGCTTGAGGACCGTTGCTTCGGATGGCTGGAGAACCGCACCTTTGCTGTCCCCTTCCAAGGCATCTGCACCGCAGTGAGTAGGAGTACTACCTTCATCATTTTCTTCATCAGCACCTACATGTACACTGCGAAGAAGCGGTCCTTGAAGTGACATAACCATTTTATGTTCTATTTCCGCAAGCTCCCGGAGTTCACTCTCCAACCCTTGAACCTCAGCTGCACAGTCAGCCTCAAAGTCTCGAGTCTGACACTCCATCTCATCTGACTGAACATCCAGCCTGCTGCACCGCACGCGGTGCTGCTCAGCTAACCCTTGAAACGCATCAGTCACATTGACACTCATCGGCCAGTTAACGCCTTCAAGCGTGTAGCTGCTATCACAAGTCTTCAAAAAAATATCAGAAGACCGGCACAGTCGTAGCGGCTTGATGCTATCTGGAACCTGAAACTTCATGAGGTCCTCAATTGCTTCATCCCTTCCATCCCAAGTGCCCAGCATCCCGCTCGCCTCGCTGGTCTGAACCTTTCCCCAAAGCACTTTAAGCTCGGCAATCAGACAAGTCAGATACACCTGACTGGGGCACCACTCTGGAAGTTCTTCAGACACAGTGACCTTTGGCCTAGGCGGCGGAAGATCCTCGATTCCCTTACTCAACAGATTCTCCTTGATATACACCACAGGGCAAGCATCAGATGCCACAGTTACAGATCCCTCAGGTGAAGGCTTCACTGAACCCCCAGCAGGTTGCACGCTACTCAGCCTAAACCTAGCAGCATACCTAGCACCCCAACCACAAACTGGAGGTGGAGAGGAACTTCTGCGCAGACCAGTTGCTTCACAGCACGTCCTTCCGCGGCCTTCATTTCCAGACATCCCATGCACAACGTTAACACGACCACAATCCAATGTCTCAGGGCTCCTACACCTTGGACCCCTAGGCCGAGTGCTCCTACCAACAGCACCCACTGAGCATGCAGCAATTCGATGCTGAGCTGGTAATTCGGACGCAGTCCGAAGCATTGAAAGCCTTTCATCCTGATGGAACAACTCAACCACATCCAGTGTTTGTGCAACCGAGTTCACTCCCCCGGTCCCAGCAACATCATCAGCGTTTATGGAGTTCAAGGAATGCACTGCACAACCCTTTACCCCACCGGTTCGCGACACAGCCTTCTTCACACCTGCATCTGTCCCTCGATTTGCATCAAGATCTGCATCGGAACCCCCCCCAGCCCTGGCACAGGATGGGCCCCGAAGATGCAGAGGAAAGGCAGACCACCCAGTCCATTTAGATGTGGGTGCACGACCGCGGCCTTTGCGCCAGCAATGGAACGCACGAACAGGCTCCTGACACTGAAAGTGCTGTTCACACAGCCGCAATTCACCAAACCAGGACCTTGGGAACGGCAGCATATCACTATCGGTTGGCACAAACAGCTGACGGCGAGGCACAGGATGATACCGAACCAAGGTGCCAGCAGAAGTCTTTTAGCCCCAGTACTCAGTCTTAGTAGCCGGAACATACGTAAAACCCAAGTCCCAAAGCTTCTGACGGTCCTGCTTTCCCAAATGATGAAGGCCCCTTGCAGTGTAGCCAAACAGTAGAAGCTGTGGTCCGCTCGACACGACTGATTCGTGCCAGCCATGCGGCTCAAAGATGAACGGCTCATGAGACTTGTAAGTGTGTGCACACCGAACCTCAACAGGTGCATTATCATCTGGCCTTTTCTGCAACCAGAGACCCCCTCCGGACGATACAATCGGCAAGACAACATTTGGAACCCCACGTTGATTATGCACATCCCGGTGCATGCTATGATTCACATTCAGCGCCAATCCAATGCCTGCAAACGGAGCATCTGTATACCGAGCCAGGTAAGCACAAAGATACTTTGTTAGCCATTCATGTTCCCCTGTATCAGACCTTACTCCTGACATACCACTGAAGGTGAACCCCCCGCTAAGGAAGCTGCATTGCGGTTGTGC